GGGCCCCAACACTGGGTGTGGTGACTGACAAGGGCCCCAACACTTGTCGTGGTGACTGACCAGGGCCCCCAACACTGGGTGTGGTGACTGACAAGGGCCCCAACACTGGTCGTGGTGACTGACCAGGGCCCCCAACACTGGTCGTGGTGACTGACCAGGCCCCCAACACTGGGTGTGGTGACTGACCAGGGCCCCCAACACTGGTCGTGGTGACTGACCAGGCCCCCAACACTGGTCGTGGTGACTGACCAGGGCCCCCAACACTGGTCGTGGTGACTGACCAGGGCCCCCAACACTGGTCGTGGTGACTGACCAGGGCCCCCAACACTGGTCGTGGTGACTGACCAGGGCCCCCAACACTGGTCGTGGTGACTGACCAGGGGCCCCAACACTGGTCGTGGTGTGACTGACCAGGGGCCCCCAACACTGGTCGTGGTGACTGACCAGGGGCCCCCAACACTGGTCGTGGTGACTGACCAGGGGCCCCCAACACTGGTCGTGGTGACTGACCAGGGGCCCCCAACACTGGTCGTGGTGACTGACCAGGGGCCCCAACACTGGTCGTGGTGACTGACCAGGGGCCCCAACACTGGTCGTGGTGACTGACCAGGGGCCCCCAACACTGGTCGTGGTGACTGACCAGGGGCCCCCAACACTGGTCGTGGTGACTGACCAGGGCCCCCAACACTGGTCGTGGTGACTGACCAGGGCCCCCAACACTGGTCGTGGTGACTGACCAGGGCCCCCAACACTGGTCGTGGTGACTGACCAGGGCCCCCAACACTGGTCGTGGTGACTGACCAGGGGCCCCCAACACTGGTCGTGGTGACTGACCAGGGGCCCCCAACACTGGTCGTGGTGACTGACCAGGGGCCCCCAACACTGGTCGTGGTGACTGACCAGGGGCCCCCAACACTGGTCGTGGTGACTGACCAGGGGCCCCCAACACTGGTCGTGGTGACTGACCAGGGGCCCCCAACACTGGTCGTGGTGACTGACCAGGGGCCCCCAACACTGGTCGTGGTGACTGACCAGGGGCCCCCAACACTGGTCGTGGTGACTGACCAGGGCCCCCCAACACTGGTCGTGGTGACTGACCAGGGGCCCCCAACACTGGTCGTGGTGACTGACCAGGGGCCCCCAACACTGGTCGTGGTGACTGACCAGGGGCCCCCAACACTGGTCGTGGTGACTGACCAGGGGCCCCCAACACTGGTCGTGGTGACTGACCAGGGGCCCCCAACACTGGTCGTGGTGACTGACCAGGGGCCCCCAACACTGGTCGTGGTGACTGACCAGGGGCCCCCAACACTGGTCGTGGTGACTGACCAGGGGCCCCAACACTGGTCGTGGTGACTGACCAGGGCCCCAACACTGGTCGTGGTGACTGACCAGGGGCCCCCAACACTGGTCGTGGTGACTGACCAGGGGCCCCAACACTGGTCGTGGTGTCTGACCAGGGCCCCAACACTGGTCGTGGTGACTGACCAGGGGCCCCAACACTGGTCGTGTGACTGACCAGGGCCCCCCAACACTGGTCGTGGTGACTGACCAGGGGCCCCCAACACTGGTCGTGGTGACTGACCAGGGGCCCCCAACACTGGTCGTGGTGACTGACCAGGGGCCCCCAACACTGGTCGTGGTGACTGACCAGGGGCCCCCAACACTGGTCGTGGTGACTGACCAGGGGCCCCCAACACTGGTCGTGGTGACTGACCAGGGGCCCCCAACACTGGTCGTGGTGACTGACCAGGGCCCCAACACTGGTCGTGGTGACTGACCAGGGCCCCCAACACTGGTCGTGGTGACTGACCAGGGGCCCCAACACTGGTCGTGGTGACTGACAAGGGGCCCCAACACTGGTCGTGGTGACTGACAAGGGGCCCCAACACTGGTCGTGGTGACTGACCAGGGGCCCCCAACACTGGTCGTGGTGACTGACCAGGGCCCCAACACTGGTCGTGGTGACTGACCAGGGCCCCAACACTGGTCGTGGTGACTGACCAGGGCCCCCAACACTGGTCGTGGTGACTGACCAGGGGCCCCAACACTGGTCGTGGTGACTGACAAGGGGCCCCAACACTGGTCGTTGTGACTGACCAGGGCCCCCAACACTGAGTAGGGAAGGGAAGGGGAGGGGGGGGGGAGTTAGAGAAGTAGGGGAATGGGGATACAATCCTCTTAATGATTCTCTCTCATTGTTTGACTGCTAGACACTTTGAGTAGCAGCCTGTTCCTCGTCGTTGGAGGCTGGGTCCACTGCTTGGAGGTGGTGTGGGGGTTATCAGGCATTGTTGTGCGTAGTTACTGTACACATCGCCACTCTTGTTTTTATCACACAGGAGAACTGTCAACTCTACGTGTACTCTTCATAATTGAAAGTCAGCTGTAAACTGTGGAAATTGTCTTGATAATGATGAGCCGAGCGATAGATTAGGGTGGTTTTAGATTAGATTAGACTCGCTCACCAACGTCGTCACAGCTACCAGTCCACTAAACTAACCTCACCTAACCCAACCATGTCACTTACTGCCAGTAAACGACTTGATGGGAAGGCAACTATCGGGAGAAGGCGCCAAGCCATTACGACTCTATAGCACTTGGAAGGGGTCAGGATAAGAATTTGGGATGGGACGGGAGGGGGGGGGGGGGGGGGAAGGAATGGTACCCAACCGCTTGGACGGTTGGGGATTTGAACGCCAACCTGCATGAAGCGAGACCGTCGCTCTACCGTCCAAGGATCTGGGACGGTAGAGAGGCGGTCTTTCTTGCAAGAAAAGTAAATTTTTGCAAGAACTTGGTTCTTGAATACACCCCCCCTCCCCCTGTGTTCCGGCAACATTTCTAATGCTTGCTGGGAGGGTGTTGAACAGCCGTGAACCTCTGTTGTTCAGACAGTGTTCTCTGATTGTGCCTATGGCACCTCTACTCCTCACAGGTTCTATTCTGCATTTCCTTCCGTATCTTTCCCTCCAGTATGTTGTTATTCTACGGCGCAAATTTGTGGAGCTGGGAAATATGGTAGAGGGACCGTGACCATGGTCCCGGACCGTAACCCTGTGTAGTGCCTCGCTGATATCGAGTCTCCTACTATCGCTGTATTTATCGATGATTGGTCATGGTCTCTAGTGATGGTCTGTTTGTGAGAAGTGATTATGTGTTTCTTGGTGGAGCCCTGTTGTTTGTGTATAGTTAATCGCCTAGAAAGAGACTTTGTTGTCTTGCCTATATACTGAGTTCTTTGGGGCTTACAGTCCCCAAGCGGTCATGTGAAGGCATAGAAGACGTTGGTTTCCTTCAAAGCGTTCTGTTTGGTGTCTGGGAAGTTTTTCATGAGTAGGTTGGCCGTTTTTTTGTTTTTATAGTAGATTGTGAATTGTATTTTCTGATTTTTGTCTGTAGGGATAACGTTTCTATCAATAATGTCTTTCAGAACTCTTTCCTCTGTTTTATGAGCTGTCGTAAAGAAGTTCCTGTAAAACAGTCCAATAGGGGGTATAAGTGTTGTGTTACTTAACTCTTCGAAGGTTGCATGACGTTTCGTCTTTCTTTTTATGACGTCTTTAACAAAACCGTTAGAGAAGCCATTGTTGACTAGGACCTCCCTAGCCCTACAGAGTTCTTCATCGACTTGCTTCCATCCTGAGCTGTGGCTGAGAGCACGGTCGACGTAAGCATTGACAACACTCCTCTTGTATCTGTCTGGGCAGTCACTATTGGCATTGAGGCACAGTCCTATGTTTTGTTTCTTTAGTGTAGACTGTAGTGTGGAAGCCTCCGTTCCTTTCCGTGACACTTACATCTAGAAAAAGCAGCTTCCCATCATTCTCCATCTCGTATGTGAAAACACAGAATTCTGCTCGAATGCCTCCTTCAGCTGCTGCAGACGTCTGACATCAGGTACCTGCATAAAAATGCCATCAACATACCTGCAGTATATGGCGAGTTTTAAATCCATGTCAACTAAGACCCTATGTTCGATGGTACCCATGTAGAAGTTCGCAAACAGGACACCTAGGGGAGAACCCATGGCGACCCCATCTACTTGCTTATACGTGTGCCTATCTGGACTCGAGAAAGGTGCTTCTTTGGTGCAGGCTTGGGGCAGCTTCCTCAGTATGTTTTCAGGTATGTCAAGAGTACAAGCCGGATCCCGATACACTCTGTCCACTATCATCCCGAATGTTTCATCCACAGTTACATTGGTAAACAGTGACTCTACATCCAACGAGGCTCTTAATTGTCCCCTTGACCTGTGTTCCCGCAGTAAATCAACAAATTCCTTTGGAGACTTCAGGCTGAAAGCACAAGGTACATAAGGAGTCAGCAAGCAGTTGAGTCGCTTAGCCAGTCTGTATGTGGGTTTAGGTATCTGGCTGATGATTGGCCGAAGTGGGTTTCCAGGCTTGTGGGTCTTGACATTTCCATACACATAACCAGGTTATATATAACCAATAAACATGAATATATATATAAGTAATGTTAATAAAAAAAGAATAGGGGTGTGTACAGATATTGAGGGGGGGGGGGGAGACCTGCTGCATGGGTAACAGCTTATCCTCCATATCAACCTACCTGGCTTTGTGCCCTAGAGAGGCCACTCCAGACCGATAACCAGAGCCCAACTCCATAGTCTCCTGAGACTGATGGATGCCTACTGCTATTAAATATTCAGTCACAGAATATAAATGCAAACCATCACTAATACATTTTCGGCTGAATTGCACAGGGTTGGAGAACTGCTCATTAGTAATCACGGCAGCAGTATTAAAGACTATCGTAATTAACCTGAGAATTCATAAATAAATAAATAAATAAATATTACTGTATACGTCGTGAGTCATTAAGCCAGATTACAACTGCATCAACATTATTAATTGCTTTAATAACACAATAATTTATAATGTTGAATGTTCATGGCTAAAGCGCAGTTTTATGCATTGCAGTTAATTTGTTAACTTATAATGATTAATATTATTATTCAACTACTGGTGTTGCAGGGACATATACAACCACTGCAACTACAGCTGCAACTACTGCAACTACAGCTGCAACTACATCTGCAACTACAGCGGCAACTACAGCTGCAACTACAGCTGCAACTACAGCGGCAACTACTGCAACTACAGCTGCAACTACTGCAACTACAGCTGCAACTACAGCGGCAACTACAGCGGCAACTACTGCAACTACAGCTGCAACTACTGCAACTACAGCTGCAACTACTGCAACTACAGCTGCAAATACATCTGCAACTACAGCTGCAACTACTGCAACTACAGCTGCAACTACTGCAACTACAGCTGCAACTACTGCAACTACAGCTGCAACTACAGCTGCAACTACTGCAACTACAGCTGCAAATACATCTATTGCAAAAAAATATGAAATTGCTAAAACGATCAGGCAAACTCCTGAAATATCTATTAGTACCAGCACAACCACAACGTCTGTTAATACCACCACAACCACTGAAACACCTGTTAGAACCACAACCACTGAAACACCTGTTAGAACCACAACCACTGAAACACCTGTTAGAACCACAACCACTGAAACACCTGTTAGAACCACAACCACTGAAACACCTGTTAGAACCACAACCACTGAAACACCTGTTAGAACCACAACCACTGAAACACCTGTTAGAACCACAACCACTGAAACACCTGTTAGAACCACAACCACCCAAACACCTGTTAGAACCACAACCACCCAAACACCTGTTAGAACCACAACCACCCAAACACCTGTTAGAACCACAACCACCCAAACACCTGTTAGAACCACAACCACCCAAACACCTGCTAACCACCAGCATAGCATACCAACACTTACTACCACCATCACAATCGTCACAACTTCACCATCACTCAGTGACACCTCCACAGCAGATGTTCACACCACCACCACCACAACACCTGTACACACCACCACCACAACACCTGTACAGACCACCACCACAACACCTGTACACACCACCACCACAACACCTGTACACACCACCACCACAACACCTGTACACACCACCACCACAACACCTGTACACACCACCACCACAACACCTGTACACACCACCACCACAACACCTGTACACACCACCACCACAACACCTGTACACACCACCACCACAACACCTGTACACACCACCACCACAACACCTGTACACACCACCACCACAACACCTGTACACACCACACAAAATAAGTAACACCCATGTCTCCACTTCAATACTCGCCTCAACCAACAATAGCACTTAATTAACCCTCCTCCTCCTGCTCCCCGGCCAAGGGACACCTCCCCGGCCAAGGGACACCTCCCCGGCCAAGGGACGCCTCCCCGGCCAAGGGACGCCTCCCCGGCCAAGGGACACCTCCCCGGCCAAGCGACACCTCCCCGGCGTAATATCACGCCGGCGTGTGTCCAGCTCTGAATGATACGCATTCCTCGCGGCGGGTTATTCAGGCCCCGAGTCACGTTCAACAGCTCTTTATTATTTGCAAATTGGAAATACCTGTCCGGCTTGGCATTATTAGGGCGGCATGGTTGGCATGTTTGACCGGAGGATGCACATTTGTAACTGCCGGCAGGCAACATTTGTAAAGGTAATTGTCAGTATTTAATTTTGCATTTTTGGTACTGTTGTGATAATTAGGACATGGGTGAAAATTATAATTGTTTATTTTTTTGTTATATGGACTCTACGTGAGATGGGTTTCATAATAATGCAGAAAACACACACAGCAATCACTGTTTGAAGACGTCCTCCAGCTCTGCAGAGGTGGGTCATTAGGATACAGCAAGCATTTCCTCTTTGTATCGCGTCTCTGAGGCGCTGGAACAGGAAGCTTGGGTCTCTGGTTTGTTAATTGAGTTCCTCACCCACCTCCTTCAGGAACTAGAGTGCACATTTACCCCAGGCGACCAGGGTCTCAGAGCCTATCGGCACGAACCTGTAACAACGTTCTAGGTCCCTGTACTTGTTGGTTTATGGGTTTCCCTGAAGGTGGCCGCCCCGCCTCCCTCAGCTGTACTGTGAGGTAGATAGGTATCAGCCAATATAGACGCACACGTGTTGTCCCACACGACCTGTCTACCATCCCTCCATGGTGTCAGGGTGACTCCAGTTGGGCACTTGTGGCTGTTATCAGGTATGTACAACTGGGGTTCCCTTTGTGCTGGACACCCAGCTGTAAACAAACATATCTTGATGATATCATCGAGTCATGTCTAGCTATATTTCCTTCCGACTTACGAGAAGTGAGACCTTGCCTGCCATATTGGTCAGTGGACACACAGCCCTAGATACACCGGTGTTCGAAGGAGACTGAGGCGGCGATCTGCAAGGCAATACCTAGGACCCGATGGCCCAGGCGGGTGGCCTAGGTGGGATTAGAGACAAGTACACAAAAGGTCCCCAGCATGGGGAGCTCTCACTGCCAGCAGGTTTCCTTGTTCCTTCCCAGAAGCTGCCTCCGGCATCGGCAAGACAATATTCTCACTATGGTGTTATCCCTTCGGGACTGCAGTCATCTGTAGACGTTTGTCGTTGTGGACGTCCAACGAGTGTGTGTTCCTCAAACAGAGTCCTTCAGTGAATTCAGGATCTTGAGTCATAACGGAGTCTCTTAGGCACTCTGGTAGGACCTTTCGCTAATTCACTCGTAGAATAGATTCACTCGTACACACATTCACACACGTACACACATGACTGTACACACATTCACTCGTAGAATAGAAGTCGAGAATATGAATGCAGGTTATGTTATCTGTGTGGCCTTGCATATGACCAAGGGGACACAGGTGAAAACTGAGTTCCCAATTGAACCAGACACACATTAAACAAATTTTTCAGTGTCAGAGTAGTTTAGCAAAGAAAATGGATGCATATTGCTTTTAGGAGTTTGTTCTACTCTGTAAACTGACCAAAATTAACAGAGATATGTACCCTGGGTAAACAGGTAAACCTGGGCGATGCCTGGCACCTTGTGAGGAGGTACACAGCATCGTGGACATACACAACATATAATCTTAATTAATTTTCCTTAGGTCGTTCAGCTTTTCCTCGAGAAGTACACCAATGGCGTACATATGGGAGCCGGTCGGCCGAGCGGACAGCACGCTGGACTTATGACCCTAGGTTCGATCCCAGGCGCTGGCGAGAAACAATGGGCAGAGTTTCTTTCACCCTATGGCCCTGTTACCTAGCAGTAAATAGGTACCTGGGTGTTAGTCAGCTGTCACGGGCTGCTTCCTGGGGGTGGAGGCCTGGTCGAGGACCGGGCCGCGGGGACACTAAAGCCCCGAAATCATCTCAAGATAACCTCAAGATGGCACTCTTGTCCAAAGGAGCCTCTAGCAGCACGCTGGTGTCCAGTCCGTCCTCTTGAGCGTTCCCAACGGCAAAAACCGTCGTACTAAAGTACACTGGCTTTGTGTGCTCTTGACAGCGCCTCGCGTTTTGACGTATACTTTACCTAAAGCCCCAAAAAACTGATGTACAAGAAAAATGGTTGCGATATCGACATTATGTCCCGTTTTCTATTCGTGGACTCTTTGGTTAGGTTAGGGCAATTTAGCACAACAGTTTTCTGACGTTTGAAACGCTCGCAAGAACGGGCTGAATCATGAGTTGAGGACAGTAAGCGGAACAGCTCAACATTGTGTAATACATCAGCTTTAGCTCGAGAGAGAGAGAGAGGAGAGAGGCGGGACTCCCGAACCTCTCTCACGTGACCCACCTGTTGGCCACCAGGTGTCTGGGGGGGGGGGGCGGCCAGGACCCACCTGTTGGCCACCAGGTGTCTGGGGGGGGGGGCAGGACCCACCTGTTGGCCACCAGGTGTCTGGGGGGGGGCAGGACCCACCTGTTGGCCACCAGGTGTCTGGGGGGGGGGGGCAGGACCCACCTGTTGGCCACCAGGTGTCTGGGGGGGGGGCAGGACCCACCTGTTGGCCACCAGGTGTCTGGGGGGGGGCAGGACCCACCTGTTGGCCACCAGGTGTCTGGGGGGGGGGCAGGACCCACCTGTTGGCCACCAGGTGTCTGGGGGGGGGGGCAGGACCCACCTGTTGGCCACCAGGTGTCTGGGAGTCACAGTTCTCCACTGTGAAACAGAGTAGTATTTGAGCCCCAAGATGAGCCACAGTCCTTGAACAAGTCTAGCGTTGTGTTCGTGTCAGTCAGGCGAGGTGAGCCCCGGAGGGGGGGGGGGGGGGGGAGAGAGAGAGAGAGAGAGAGAGAGAGAGAGAGGGGGGGGGGAGGTACTCACCTAGTTGTGCTTGCGGGGGTTGAGTTCTGGTTCTTTGGTTCCGCCTCTCAACGGTCAATCAACTGGTGTACAGATTCCTGAGCCTACTGGGCTCTATCATATATATATTTGAAACTGTGTATGGAGTCAGCCTCCACCACATCACTGCCTAATGCATTCCACCTGTTAACTACTCTGACACTGAAAAAGTTCTCTCTAACGTCCCTGTGGCTCATTTGGGTACTCAGTTTCCTCCTGTGTCTTCTTGGTCGTGTGTGTACTCACCTATTGTTTGTGTGTGTGTGTGTGTGTGTGTGTGTGTGTGTACACACCTATTTCAGCCTGCAGGATCGTGCTCTAGCTCTTGAACCCCGCTTTTACATACGTTGGTTGTCTAATGTAATGACTCCTGGCATATTTCCCCAACATACCAGCTTTTAAAGTTAAGAATGGAGTTATCCTCTACAACCTGCTCCTTTAGGTCCTTCCATTTACTCACTTCCTTAACACTAAAAGAAAGCTTTGTAACTTCTGTATGACACAGCTGAGTCTCAAGCCTCCATCCGTGCCCCCCTTGTTCTGTTGATATTCATTGTAAACATTTCTTATGTTTCCACCTTGTCAATCCTTTTAAGTATTTAATACGTTTGAAACATGTCCCCCCCCCCAACCCTCTCCCTCCTCCTCCTGTCTAACGTTGTTATGTTTAGTTCCTTCATTATGTGTTTTTTGTCTTTAAATAGGTGCTCCACGATGGGGCGGAATACCCTAAGACTGGCCACACACACGCACGGTTTACAGTGATCTAAAAGTCTCGTTGTTCTAAGTTTGTGTGTGTTAGAGGGGGGGGGGGTGAGGGGGGCCTTTGCGTACGAGTGACAGAGGTTGTGACATCTGGTGCTTCACACAGAGAAAAACACACACACACACACACACACACACACACACACACACACACACACACACACATATGCAGGGGGGTCTCGTAGCCTGGTGGATAGCGCGCAGAACTTGTAATTCTGTGGCGCGGGTTCGATTCCCGCACGAGGCAGAAACAAATGGGCAAAGTTTCTTTCACCCTAAGTGCCCCTGTTACCTAGCAGTAAATAGGTACCTGGGAGTTAGTCAGCTGTCACGAGCTGCTTCCTGGGGTGTGTGTGTGTGGTGTGGGGAAAAAAAAAGTAGTTAGTAAACAGTCGATTGACAGTTGAGAGGCGGGCCGAAAGAGCAAAGCTCAACCCCCGCAAAAACACAACTAGTAAACACACACACACACACACACACACACACACACACACACACACACACACACACGGGGAAATTGACAGGGTGGACAAAGACAAACTCTTTAACACGGGTGGAACACGAACTAGGGGACACAGGTGGAAACTGAGTACCCAGATGAGCCACTGGGACGTTA